AAAAGAAAAATCACACAGAAAATAAGAATCATAATTCACGATCTAGGTGGATGAGTGCCAAACGCGCGTTGCCGACGATTTATAACACGACCGGCCGCCAGGGCCAAGGCACGCGCCAACACAGTAGCAGCCTGCTGCCCAGTCGACCGCTTGTTTTTTTTTTATTATTATTATTCGCGCGGAGCACTGCTGACCCGTTTGCCGCAAATGCGCGCGCATTGTACGTTTGAATACAATCGGATGACCACAAGGCCAAAACTGCATATCATACAAGCGATAGTAAAAAGAAGAACATAATATACAGAGTAATACTAATGCATCTACATTTTATTAAGTAGGTCGTGTTATCTATAAAATGATATATTTTTATTTTTTTATCAACGTGCACGGAACTGATTAAAAAACGCATCGTATGTAGCTGTGATCAATATACACCATGTACGTTCGCTTGAGGAAGGTCAAGGTTTAAACTTAGGAAGGGGAATACTAAATCCCAACGTTGTAGTTGTTATTATAACTGTAACATGTGAAGTGTTCAGCGTCGTTTTAAATTGTACGCATATATTAAAATATATGCATATAAAACGTCATGTTTTTACGAGTAATTAACTTTAGCGACAAACCTATAATACGGCATTCAGGTATGTTTTTCTTAATCGACATTTCTATTGTATTTTATTATTCTAACATAATTGGGATGATTCTTGCTAAATAGTAAATGTAAATACGATTTCAATAATTTGTAGAAAACACCATCCGTACAGAAAATGTGTTTTATTTGAAGATGATAGCCGTTGAGGTATTAAGGTGGTACACATTATTAGACTAAAATAAGAAGCATATATTATCATACATTCTTAAAGATACAAGAATTTACTAATTCCAAAACGATTTAACGATGTTTATTCAGATTCAATACATTTATTACACATTCATACACACGTGTGTATTAAACTTGTAAAAGTTTTTAGTTTTTTGTTAATTGTTGAAATTAGTTATTAGATAAACATAATTCTCTGAAATAATATACTAGAAGTAATTTAAAATGTATGCAACTAGTAAGAATTAACTGTTTTTTGTTAAAATAAATTGAATACCTACAATACTATAATAATTTACAAATAAGGATGATTTACGAGAACGAATACAAAAAATTAATACAATTTATATATATTTTATTTCATAATATACTATAGATATGATATAAGTAATGACGAATGAAAGCAAAAGCTACAAATATTTTGCATACACTAAATTTTAGTCTATCGATAAGTAGAACCTATTTTATTAGGTCTAAAAATCTATTTTTTTTTTTTTTTAATTGAGCTAGAAGATATACATAGAAAAAAAATATAATATGATAAGATGAATTATTATTCAATAAATACAGTTAAAACTTTAACTAATTTTTAATATTATTCGAAATTTCTTTGGCATATATTAATATTTTTCATATACTTTCATTATATTTTAAGGCTATAAACTTAGAAAGTTTTGTGTAGGTAGAAAATATGAAATAAATATCATATGCGTCATAATCTCTCAGTTTATATTGATTTGAAATGATGACCTGACATTATGGTACTATAGGTACATGGAGACACCAGCACATCGCTATGTAATTATAATATTTTTGAATTTGACATTTTTCCAAAATAATTAAAAAATAACATTTTTATAGTTACTTTAATTGAAAAAAAATTTATTGTGGCCATTATAGGTAAAAGCGTCAACTATAATAGGTCACAAATAATTTAACATTAAATTTGACAATAAGTCAATAATTTGCATTTACAGGTAATCGTGTGATCACGTTTTGACGACTATTTATACAATTTATCAGGACTAATACATACCTGCTTGATTTTAATGTTATAAATACAATATGACTTAATTTATATCTTATCATGCAAATAAAACCTAAATTGGACGATCCATTTTTTCTTATATACTCGCGAAACTAATCAAACTTTGTTTTGTACACGGAATTTCCCAATCATATTAAGTCATTTCATAAATTGATACAATATTGCGTTATCTCAGTAAAAATTAATGAAAGAAATTTAAATTTAAAAATCAATTATTTCTGTCATCCACATTGTATAACATGAGTATTTATCATATTATACACACAAGCATCTAAAACGCTTTACAACACCATCAACAAGACCACTCCCTATAGGTCCATTTTATTTTTATTTTTGAAGGGTGTTAGTTTGGCCAAACTTTTTGCACGATAAACTTGCGGTGTTTTGTGGAAACAGAGGAAAAATCGATTCCTCTGACAATAAAAATGTTATCTGAACAATCCTCTTTTCCCGCGTTGGTCGCTCTACCATCATAATTACTGTGCACAACCATTCGATCGGGGTTATAAAAATATGTATAATACCTGGTCTATTTTATGGACGCTATAAAATTAAAACCGTCAACAAGAGTAGATGGTCTGTTTTCGAATACATTTTCAGAATTTACTACCGCCAAAAAGCGAATCTCTATATAGTATAAATGCCTTGCTTAATGTTTGCACATCCATAAAAAAAGCTCAACAACCACACCCGGATATCATTTATTTTTTTTAATGTTTTCGTAATCGGATTTTTATTTAACAAAAACTATTCACTTGAAACTTGTTAAATATAAAATACTTCCCAAATCAAACAAATTATAGTAGAAAAAAATTTATTTGTTTAAACTAATTAATTTTTAACTGAGTGTCTAATGTAATGGCGAATTAAAGAACAAACTTTCTTTTTAGTATTCAAAACTCATAAACTATCTAAATATTATGACAATATAATACAAAAATATTAAAAATATTATATTCACGTGAAAATGACATATATTTTTTGAAATTACAAATAAATATTATAAATACCTAAACTTATTTCAAAAACAGTTAAATAAATAAATAAATAAATGGTATTACAAATTAAAGTTATTTTTTATGTATATGTATACAAGTAAATATTCTAATTATATAATAATTTCATAACCTATAAAATCGCTAATGTTTTGATTACGAGATAACTAGAAATTAAGAAGAAGGTATAACGAAACCATAAATCATGTAATTTTTAGTAAAATTGGTTGTTATTTATTATAATAATTAAATTATAAGTACTTATTTCCTTAATTATTTATTGCCAATGAGAAAATAAAACTATATATGTATATATAATATTATTGATTATGAATTCTAGTATTTATTATCAATGATAATACTGAAATAAATATATTAATTTGAATTTATGAATGTTAATATATTTATAATCACTTTTAATTTGCCAAAAAAATAAGAATACCGGTACATTGAAAAACGAACTACGAGATTTTTATTTCTGGTACTTTTCCAAAAGATTTTAATTTTAAACTAATAACAATATTAAAATAAATTAAAGACTCAGAAATGTATTTAATACGAATATTAAAAACCAATAAATTCACGTGAGTGAAAAATTATAATCAGATCAATCAAACAAATTATGAAAAATGTCTATATTTTTTAATAATAGGTATACTTATTTATAATCAAATTGAATTAAATAATTATAATACAAACCATATAACTCATATATCGATAAAAGTAATGAGTTTTCTTTTTCTACTAAAATTATTATATATAAATTAACTAATGTTTATTTTTAGGTGTTTTTTAAAGATACTAACTCAAAGGTTTACTAATATTTACCAGCAAATTAAACATTAAATATAAGATATTTGTATAGAAAACGAAATTCAAAATCAAAATATATTTTCTATTAAATACTAATTTGAGTAATGTGTAACTACTTGTTATATACAGTCGTCAGCCATACATTTATACATTTTTATATTTTAATCATCTGTAAAAGAACGATCGTTTTAATCGTGGATTACTTATCATTTATCTTATAATTTGTTTAAAAAACATTGGAATATTTGTTTTTTAATAGGCCATTGATAAACGAAAAATTGCACCAAATTTTATTCCTCTAATAATAGTAGTAGGACAACACATACTGATATTATTTGTTATTTATGAAAGGTTGATCGAACAATACAAAAATCTCAATACTTTTATAATCACCACGGGGTTCATCATATCTGAAGACCAATGACCCCGTTTGATTGTACCTCTACTTTTTTCATGCCAGTATAATAGTTATGGTTTTAGCGAAAGTCATTTCCTTCAATTTTTTCCACCAAACTAAAAATGTACCCGCTTCTTATTGAAGATTAAAATGTTTTATGTATTAACTAATGTACTTAATGTACTATACTTGTTAATTATGTACTTAATGTACCAACTTAATTAATAGTTATTTATAATTTAACGTTTATTTTTAAAAGTTGCCTATTTTTAATTATTAATAATATATTAAATAATCTAAAATAATATCTATTATCTATATATACATAAATAATATGATGTAGGTAACTGTATTACCATATTATTTTATATAACATCAAAAATGTATAAAACTATTATAAACCATTAAACCATAGCATACTTTTAATATATAATAAAATGTGTGTATTATATTACCTAACACGGTTGATATATTACGTATTATAGTTTAAAAATATCTTACTTTATAACTATTAATAACTTAAAAAAGACCTATAGTAGCTAACTGTAACAATTTCAATATAATTATCATAGTAAAAATCATAGATTTTTTTAATTTACTGAATGTTTAAATAAATATTATACATCTAAACTAATTCAATCTATTCCCTACTCATTCGAATCGTTTTTTGATAATGTATCGTATAATTATAAACGCGAGGTAGTTAAAGCCAAAAATAACAATGATGATATAGAAAAACAGAAAGAGATAGGTGTACAGAAAAAGAAGATGGTATGTTCATAACAACCGAGAGTATTTGGCCCTTTGCCTCTTGAAATGAGCAATAAATAGTTTATAGCTTATGACCGACTTCAGATATAGTTTAAATTCGTTGTATCATAATTTGCTTATTATTTATCGAGGATAGTGAAAATACGAATGTCTTACCTGTTTTTCTCCAGCTCATTATGAGTTGTTCTGAAACAAAAACAAACAATAAATTAATTAATAAATATAAAACAAGTACTTCGAAATGTACATAATGTTTTCCCTTTAATTTTTGTAAAAACATCATTGTTTGGCTTTAAGCCAAAACCTCAATATGACAAGCTCAATAACTGGGCCACATGCATATATGGTTATTTAAAAATGTAATGCATGCAAAAATAATATACTCGTATGTTACATAGGTAACATATACAGAGTTAATCAAATATAAAAATACCTACAAAAATATTAGGATTAAAAAAATTGATTAAATCCTTTGTAACAATGTAAAATGTTTAAATAATCTATGATGAGTGCAATTTAATAATATAATATAAAGATTACAAGATGATCAATGAACAATAAACAATGAAACAATAATTATCTTTGCCATGATAAATCATCGTATTCAAATAAATACGAGTAATAAACAGTATTGAGTGAACACTAAACCTTATAACTAGTTAACTATCGTTAACTATATTATTTAATAATCATAGATAAAATTCAAAGAACTCTTATGGGTGTTAATATTTATAAGAGTAACTAAAACAGTAAAATTGAAAAAAAAATATAAATAAGTATACGAGTATAACTTTACTACAAAATGTTAAAATTAATAATCAATCAATACGCTTTTAAATTTTAATCTAAGATAATCATTTTTTTAATCATAAAATTTACAATTAAATGTAAAATAAGAATAATTAAAACTGAATTTGAAATTAAATTGTTCTTTTTTTATATAATTTTTAATTGCAAAATCTACTGATTAAATTAATCCTATTTCTCTATGAATAGGGCAATAACAAGTTTTTGGACCAATAACAATGCTCTAACCAATAATGTTTTTATAGTAACATACTATATTAAAAATTATTCTCACAAATTGTTTTTTCAAATACATAGAATTTCATCACGAAAATTTTGAAAATAATAGAGTGAATTTTCTATAATAGCCTATAAATATCAATCATTAAAATGTATAGTTAAAAACTATTCCTTAAAATGTAAAAATCATAGGTAAATTTCTTCCCTATAATTTTCTAATATATATATTATAAATAAATATTAGATTATAATTTAATAATAAAATATATTTTATGATAATATTTTATAATGTTAATACATTTATAAATTATAATACGTATTTATAGAATTTATAAATATTTGAATCTAACTTTGAAAACAATTTTTTTTGTATTCTGCAATAATAATTAACTTTTATTTAAAATAAATCCAATAAATGCAAGTACCTAGGTGCATATAAATAGTCTTAATCAAGAGTTTAAATCAAAATAACTCAAAAAATAAATCATTCATACCAAACGTCGAGCAAAATATATCTACCGACTACTTTATAAAAACAAGTTTTTACCGATTATTGATATTACTGTGGGTATACATATTTATATTCTACGCCTATACTGAATTATTCTTAATACGTGATTAAGGGTTTTAGCCTTTAGATGATAGGGTAGTAAAGTTTTCATACTGAAAAAACCCCTAGTAAAACGATTGGCCGCTAACAATTGAAACTGACAAAGAGGTCAAGGACAATAAAGTATTTTATCATATTTTTTTATAGAATTATAGAATATTATATAACAGCTCCAAGTCAATATTTTATTCAATATTTATAGCATGAAGTACATAAAGTAGTTACCCACTATCATTTATTTAAAAGAATAACTTAGAATATAAAAAAAAAAAATCAACTGTTTTATACATTACTGCAATTTAATATCAAAATAAAGAAAAAGTTTTTTATAAAAACTTCAATTATTTCAATAGGTAGAAACTTTTTTTTTCCAGTTGTAATTAAAAATAAAATACCTACTACTGAATATAAACTTTTAATATAATTAAAAAAAATCTTTAATGAATACATTATCAGATGTCATCCTATCATCATTATACAATATTCATACATATTATTATATAAAGGAAAAAACCTGATAAAATATTTTATCCTGTGCCACAAAGGGTTTGAAAAACCAGTGAATACACTCCCTCAGTCGTATCAGCGAAGTGTAAACACCATAGAGTGCACGTATACGTGGTAGCAATTTCCTCCCGGAAGCCTTTGTCTCGTGTAAGTTGGCAACTACAAGGGATGCTTTAGGGTAAGGATGAAAAAGATAAAAAGTAGTAGATCTTCATAATTACGAAGAAAAGTTTAGTAGAATGAGATGGTAGAGCAAGAAGGAAAAACACAAACATCAGTTTTAAAAGAAAATGTGTTAGTGTCATATTATTATACTTGGGATTTTTTTCAAAAATATCCTCTTCTTTTTAAACTAAGAAAGAAAACTAAAATTAGTTTCAACCATTAAAATAATTAAACAGAGAAATTAAGTTAATGGACTAAAAACTTAGAGTAAAAAGTTTACATTTGGCAATAATTCTTTATCTCATTTGATGATAGTAAATCAGTAAAAAATTAAGCAGACACGATCGCACGAACAAAAAATATATACTTTAATCTCATACTCCTAGACTAAATACATAATTTTTTTGTTTTTAAATAAATATAATTATAAATTTCACACAAACTAATAAAGTCTTGTTTATCAACATTAAAATTGTATACATGAATAATAATTTAAAACGCCTAGCTAATTAAATACACAAATTTTAATTCATTTTCAATAGGGAAACTTAACTAAAAATTATATAAATTCAAGACTCAGAACATAATTTAAAATATTTAAATATTATTGATGGAAATAAATTAATAACATGTTAATAAACTTTATAATTAACTTATATTATCTAATATTTACAGAGTATATATTTAAATTCAAAAAAAAGAAAATATAAAAACTTTATTAATTTATTAATAATTGTTTTTATTTTGATTAAAAGCATTTTAATATTAGAAAGTAATAAAAACTGCAGTGTTATTGACTTAAATATTAAAATTTTTTTTTTGATGGTTCTATTTCACGTTCTATATTTAAACCTACCTACTATTCAGGAAAGATAATATTATCTCGGTCAGATTTACTGTATAGCCCTTTAACGAATAAAATTAATTATTTATACGATTGATACGACATTATATTATGTTATCATCATAATATTATGATTTAATAATAATTAATTTCAACAAAAATAACAATAAGAACGATGTATACATATTATTTTTGTCGAAACAATTCCCACACATAGATACACATACACACATACAACTACTATTAACAGTATTCGTATATTCGTATGTTATTAGATTGGATCATCCAAATAAATATAGGTAAGTATACAATAGTTTGGTAGAGTGGGTGATCACTAAATTAAATTATAGAAAACGATAAAATTAAAGTATTAAAAATGTGACTTTGTGTTAGGAGCTTAAGTATAATTCTCGTGGTTTTGTAGTTTATCACAGTAGTATTCTCTCTAACTGCAGTATAGGTACTAAAGTATTCGATAAATGACCTATCGTAGTTGTTATTTGCGCTCTTTATACAATTAAAAGTATAATTTTATGTTGAGAACCTAATAAATATGCATGTTGTATGTACCTAAACAACATTAAATTTATCAAGTCTTTTTACTGCCACAGTTGTTTACTTTTTATAAAATTAAAGAAATAAACAAAAATCCACAGCAATTTGAATTATCTTTTGATCCACTTGGAATAAATATATTATTAAATAATTAAAATATGTTCAGTAGGTATCAAATACAAATATATATATATATTATACATAACGTACACACACGGAGTGCACGTGCGACTCGTGAGGTTTTCATCAACAATAACTATAACTACAGCGGTAGACCATAAGCCTAAGTTACGTATTCCACAAGAACCGTTCAGCGGCAGTTGTGTTGTCGGCAAGGGAAGAGGGGCAGAATCGGTGGCGTTGTCACCCAGGCGAGCACGCGGGCTCTATTAACCTTGACATTTAAAAGGTCACGTCGCGACTTTTTCTACCCGTTTAGCCACTGTGTTCGGCAATATCCTATACCTAACCTCCGCGTATAATAATATGCTGACTGACATATATATTTCCTTTATGTTTTCTTAAATACCGTTTTCGTACACATTTTTTTTTTTTTTTTTTTTTGAACATTAAAACAATACACCGTTCGAAATGCCCAGGGATTTTCAATCCACGTTTTGAAAGGCACGATAGCAACACAAAAAGCGACTACTTACCGGCTTCCCTGCGACTTCTTAGTCTTTGGCCTCTTCGAAGACCCTTTGAGATCGATCGTGATCGGCATCGGTGAAGCATATCCGTGTTCCGCTTCTGCAAAAAATACGACGGTATTTACGCGGTCGGTGGCGGCGGCAACGGCTCCGTCGGTCGCGACTGCGGTGTCGGCAAACGGTGGCGGGGGGTACGGTGGCGACGCGGTAAACTTACCTCTTTCGCGCCTTTCCAGGTACTCGGCAGCTTGTAATAAAGCAGCGATACTCATATTCGATGGCTGGACGAGTAAGTTTGCAATCGACACACGTGTACCTACGCCCACGCACACTGCACGACGATCGTTCAAATGTAATTTTATAATATAATGTGATACCTTCCTCTTGGGAAACACGCGTTTCTACCTATACGGTATGCGTGTTCGTAGAACGGATTTATCGTGACGATAGATTTTATCGAGGACTTTATTCGTCCCGGATTCGCGTAGGTAGGTTATAAGTAGGCAGCTAGGTATGTAGGTATATTGCGACGGTGTACAGGCGGAGGTCGCACTCGCCGTGGATGTTTTATCTACAGCCGGCGGTAGATATTATTCTATACTTATTATTGATTTGGCAATATTATGACGATATCCAGGTATGTCGATCGAATTGCGATCGCGTAACTCGGGTGCCGAAATCTGTACTTGTTGTCAGTATTGTGGATACGATGCGAATCAATATTTCGCTGGCCAATAATTCGAAACCGGACGGGAACTTGTGTTGTTATATTCTTCCAGTGTCCCCCGGGGACGAGATGATACCAACACTAGATCGCGGACGCACGTGACGACATGTACATACACACACAAACACACACGAACACACACACACACACACACACGAACACACAAGCGAACTCCACGGAGACGCGGGCCACTGAACGGTCGCGCGAGGGTAGAATGCGGCGCAGAGATGTAGTATTATACGCACAACACTGCGATGGTCGGAAAAATTAGAGAGACACACGACACTAGAATAACAACAGCGTCGGTGGCGGCGGCGACCACGAGAATAATAGCAACGACGATGACGGCGGCGGTAATGACAATAAAAACAACAATAACAACAACAACAACAACAATAACAATATTATGTAGCGCGACGGCTGCGGCGGCGGCGGCGGCGGCAGGCAGCGACGGTACGTCGATACCAGGACTGTGTTTGCGACTGTGGCCAACGGGTTATTGACGTGTACCGCGGCCGTTGTGTGCCAGCGAGCCACCGACGGCGGTCGAACAAAGCCGAACGGATTGTGCTGGCGGCGTGCCGGGGGGGATCACGTGAAACGCACGCCGCGTACGCGCCAACAGCTGACCGCGGCCGCCGCTCCGTGCGACGTGTACAGCCGCGCGACACGTCACCGTCGCCATCTATCCGCCACTCGGATACCGGACCGTCGCCGAATGCAATACGTTTTGGGAGAACCAAAATGTCCAAGCTCCCGCACACTTTTGTACGTTTAAACGCGATGGGCGACCGACAACCGAACTGTACCCACTGCATTTGCGCGAATTACGCACTACAGTCATAATAATATGCGTATCTACTATAAGTGCATTACATATAAGTGTGGGTAGGTATGGGTACCTACACAATACACACCTCGCACGGTTATTTTGCCACTCTATAACGTAGTTAAGCAGTACCTATGTTTATGCTCAAACAATAGGTAGTTAACAAAGATTTAAAAAAATCACATTTCATGTGTTCTAAATTGCAAGGTTCCGAAGTTCCGAGTGCGATTAAAAATATGCGTTTGGGGACGTTTAGGGGCTTAGCGCTAAACCGCACCTATATAGTGAATTACATATACCTATAACTATTAGGATTTAGGACTCTAAAAGTTTAAAGGTGGTTTGTGGTTTCTTGTAGTTTTAACGACTTAAACTAGACCTAATATTCGTTCCTATTGGGTAGTTTTAATTAAATACTGCAAATGTACGAATTAACATTTTTAGAGTAATTTAAGAATTCTACAATGATTAGATACTCACAGTAAATTTCATAAAAACGATTTTACTCAAATATCATAACATTTTTATTAAAATTTGTATTTTAAAAGCCCTAATGTAGTAAGAAATGTTTGTAAACAACGTAATCTCATGTAAGGCACCGCTTATATTACAAAATATTATAATATGTAATCGACCAATAACTTTGAAGTAATTAATATTGCGAAATATAAACATTCTAAATATATTATAAGTACCATAAATCTCATGAATGCATCGATTATGATTCATGACCAATGGCGGATACGAGAAGAACGATAGGACAATACTCCACCACGCATCTTGAAGGTGTTTTTTTACGTAATTAATATTTAAAATATTATTATAAGCTATAGTGTATACTCTATAGATATGTTTGCCGTCAATAAAACTGTATATCATAGAAATTCTTCATAAATATAGGTAATATATTACTCATATAGCAGTATAACATACAAATATATTATAAAAATCTGCTGGGTCTGCTACTGTTTATGGCGTTATAAATACATATCACGGAGTGACAAAATAGAATTAACTTTGTATAATACTGCAGTATTTTATAGTATCGTAATATTAAAATAATTACCTATTTAATCAACTACCATTGGAATAGTTTATAAGCTTAAATTAATTTGACCTATTTCGTAATATTATTATACGTATCTATTTAAGTATAGATACGGTTGGTAACGCTAGTTATGTATAGAATATAGACTATAGCCATGGTTCTCAACCGGTATGTCGCCGAGTAGGTAAGTCCAAATGTGTCGCGTGAAGCACTAATATTAAATGACACAAAGTTTTTTAAACAATTAATGAGCAAAAAAATGGTTTTTTTTTTTTTTATAGTGTATCTATGGACCACCTGGGTTAGTTGGCCGGTATCCTCCCAGTCTGGGCCTGAGTGTGTCGCCTTTTTTATGGATTCAAATTAGGGTGTCCTCATACAAAAAAAGTTGAAAACCACTGGACTATAGAATATTATAATTAGTAGATACTAAGATATTTTACCTGATACACCGGACAGCATAACGGATGACATGTTGTGGTTTCGACTGTCGTGCGACGGAAACACTATATTGTGTTAGTGCTATGTATTAACACGACGAATTCAGAATAACACTTGAGAAACTTACATGCACGGCGTGGTACGGATCGGTTACGGTTCGAAGGAAAAACTTACACAGATCGGTCGAATAACTTACACTTGACGCACTCGGTTCACAAGAACAAAAAAAAAAAAAAAACTTGTAAACGCGACACGGATGACACAACGCGACGCCATGGATGGAAAAGCTCTATACCCAACTGTTTGTCACGGCTGGTCATAACGGTTTATGTTAGTCTTGAAACACGAAAATATAAAATTGTACACCGTCCGCGCGTCTTCCATAATGTATGGATAACTCTGATTCTCTTGTTCCATTATTTTCCATTCCATGTACTCGTATCGTGATTATGAAAATATTACCAGAGTCCTATTGTATTAGCATTATACATTTTATCATATGTAGTTTAATGTGTAACTATACACTGTATATTGTGTGTTATGAAATGTAAGAGCAAGACTATTATTTGTTCGTAATAAAAACGCAAAAAATTCAAAAGTTCAATATGCTCGAAGCTTGAGTTATGACGCGTTGATCTCTTTAATTATCTTTTCCATGTACGTTACCTTTAGCCATTAGCTAAACATAAGTACCAACTTATTATTATTATTTTTTTTTTTTTTAAATTTCAGTCAACATTAAAATTCATTAAATAGATTTTTGTAATTTTGTTGTAATTCTAAATTATCATAATCCTAGACTTTTGAAAATTATTCTCGAATTGTGTGTTTATTTCAATACTATGTAACTATTAAAAATGATGATCTTTTGGCAAAATATATTATATCGGTACACCATTTATTTTTCAGATACCACTTGAACAGTATACTCGTATACAGTAGTGTCAGCACCTGATACCATATATTACATGGGTTGACGCTTTTGACAGTTTTTTCGGTATACCGGTTCTATTACCATGATACTGGTATCCGATTTCAATACCGTCATCCTGAATTCTATCAAGGCTTCTCGTTGCTTCTCCATAGTACTTATTTATTTCTGATTATTTTTGTGAGGTACCCACAGTAAATTTTTAATTTTAACTTCACATAGTAACTACCAAAAATTATTTGATTTTTTTATACCATCACTTAACTTAGAATCTAAAAAAACTAAATTCCCTGCAGCATAAACTATTCGAAGGGTAATTAATGATCAATATTTATATACTACAGTCTACATTATTTACTAGGTAAGTCTGTAAATCAATAACTTTTTTATAACTCAAATTATAAAAACTATAGGTACGTTAATAAAATGAATTAATATTAATTGTAGTCGTTTTATTATTTATTACTACAAAAACAATAAAATGTCTGTTTAATATCGACGGATAATACAATTTTTCACTGTCAAATACGTTTTAGTTCAAATTTTAACAACATTCTTTTTATTATTAAACCTTAGAAGATGTTTATTACTTATTCCTAAAGTTTTACACTATAAACAATAATTAATCTATTTATCCATTGAATAAATTATATAACAGCAATTTAGTATAATACATTAATACACCATAAAAACTAAATAATTAGTATATATACAAAGTTATTTTTAAATTTTATTAGTATAAGTTGATATTTTTGTAGTTGTACAAATCAAAATTTTATCATGTTCACTTATTGTCTTGTTAATGTATATGATTTTTAAAGTTGATATTTGAAAATAAGAATTTTTTTCGTAACTTTGCTTCCATATAAAAGTAATAATTTAAAATTGACTACGTATACCTACAATAAAGCTTATTTTCTTTATAGTTTTTACTCGCCTATTCATCATCATAAATAGCGTTTACCTATATTTTTGCAATTTTAAAAAATCAATAAACTTTTCACTTTTTTTCTTTTTTTGAAGGATCGTAACAGATAAATCATCATATTTGAACTTAGAAAAAAAAGAAAACATTTTTTAATTTTAACTTAAACCAATAAAAATATTTTATTTAAAACTTAATTATTTTAAATAAATTTGTTTTTTAGTGTTATTTTCCAATGTATTATTATTATTATTATTATTATTATTATTATTATTATATGGTTGTAAAATAAACATAATTGAAATTGATAAAATATATAAGATAAGCTACAAAATGGTTATTTATAAAAAGATAAAGTTGACTTTCATGTTTTTACCACTTAACACTAATAAAATGGTAATAATTAATAGCATATAGAATAGTGTTATATAAAGTAATTTATAAACTATATGATAAGTACTATTATAAAAGTATTCAAATGAGCAATAAGAAATTAATACTGAATAACAAAATCATATCATCAAATTTAAAACATATCGTTTTTTTTTCAAATGTATCATAAAACATTTTTAGTTTCTTAAATTTACTAGATAATATTAAGTTTTTATAACGTGTTATATTAAAATTTAAAGTTAAAGAAGTTTTAAAAATCATGAACATGTTCATATTATTTTGTGGTTCAAACTTTCAATTTTAATACCTAAAAGACTTGAACGTTTTATAAAACTATTTTAAAGAACAATAAAATTAAAAAATAACAAAAATATGTCATGCATAATCTCATAGACACATTTTTTTTTCATATTTAAGGTGATGTTATTAAAATCTAGTCATTGACAAGATACAATTAAAATCAATTATACAGAAGAGTGAGCTACCCGGGTTATTTTAATTTATACATTTAGTAAACCTGAATTCTCGACATTCGTTTGATCACATATATTTTTTCTGTAAGTTTTATTTTACAATGTTGTTAAACTTATATTGTATAGCTTATGTAATAATTGAGTCATACGAACTTTACTGAACTAGTTACACTTATAAAGACAACTTGAAATGTACAGTAATAGTTTAGCCCGTGTACTGTATTTGTATGATATAACAGATGTATCTACTTACTTTCAAAAATTATTCGAATTCCAAAGTCTATCATAATACAATTTGGAATAATAGAATAACTTTATTTCTATCGGTTTCATTTAATCTTAATATAATTTCATCTTTATTATTTTACTTAAAATAAATTACAAAAGACGAAATGTCAACATCAAAAATTAAACAACTAATTTAATTAATTTTTTTTTTTAAT